ATCTCTTTATGCGTTGGTTGAAAGTGCAGACATTGCCATAGAGGGATATTGGTGATGCTTATTAAAGTCGAAGAGTCAAGGAGAGATCAGTCGATCTTTGTTCTGTTTTATAGGAATCCTGTGGTTAGAGCTACTACACATCATGACTTGCTCAGGACATTCCTAGTTTATAATTGTTGTTCTGGCCCAATTTTTTATTTTTTGTTTTGTTTTCTTTTTGGAAGTACATTCATTTGAATGACAATACTTTTTTTAAAAATGGCACCTTATACTCACTGCTGTTTAGTCAATTCTGGCTCGTATATCCTCCATCAGGTTTCTGAAGCTCTGTGTAATAGAAGGTTGTTGTTGGTTGTTGTTATTGTGTGCCATCCAGTCTGAACCAACCCATGGCTGGCCCTCCAGTGGGTTTTAGAGGCAGTAAATCGCACATGTTTCACAGAACACCTGATTGTGCTCATGCCAAACCTGTACTTGGACCAGGAAGTAGGCGTCAGAACACAAGGAAACACTTCATAGTTCAAAATCAGGAGGTGAACACATCAGGGATGTGCCTGGTCTCCACACCTTTTTAATCTACATGTAGAACAGATAATTCAGCAGGATTGTGGCATCAGGATGAGAGGAAGACTCACCAGAAACCTGCATTATGCAGATCACATAACTTTGTTTGCCAAAACTGAGGAGGACTTGAAGCATTTGCTGCAGAAGGTGAGGACTGCAGTCTTCTATATGGACTGAAGTTCATCATCAAGAAAGCAAATATTCTCACCAGTGGGCCAGTTGGCAGCACCATGATAGATGGAGAAGAGATTGAAAATGTTAACAATTTTAGCTTGCCTGGTTTACAGTCAACACTGTTGGCACCAGCTTTCAGGAAATTAAAAAAACAAAAAACAACACAACAAAACACCAAACCACAACAAACTAACTCTGTTAGAAAAATCTGCTGTCAGAGATTTCCTCAGAATTCTGAAGATCAACAATGTCAGTGTTGAGACTAAGGTGTGTCTGATTTAGGCCATGGGCTTTATAATTACTTGCTATGCATTAGAGAGCTGAGCAGTAACAAAAGATGATAGAAGAATCAAGAAAACAAACAGGTCTATCCTGAAGAAGGTGAAGCCAACTTGCTCCTTGGAGGCAAGGATTTTAAAGGTCTGTCTCACATACTTTGGGCATATTGCCAGGACCAGTTCTTGGAGAAGGACATCATCCTTGGAAGGGTGGAGGGATGGTGCAGGAGAGGAAGCTTCCAGATGAAATGGAATGTTTGACACAGTAAATGGATGTAGTGGGTGATAGGTGTGTCAGAGACAGTGAGAATGGCTCAGGTTAGGGCAGGGTTTGGCTGTATTGCATAAAGTAGTTATGAGTTGCAGTTAATGGTACATAACAACAATAAAAGATCACACAGAAGTAAACTCATAGCTGCCCCTCAGTGGGTTTTCAGAGATTGTAAATCCCACAAAAGGAGATAGCCCAGGAAGCCATTGGTGTATTAAAATACCAGTGAACCACCACCATGGGTCAACAATGCAATTGCCTAAGCACTGTACTACCCACCAGAGCTCCCAGAATGCAGGGGAAAAGGACAAATGGAAAAGAAGACCCTAGAGAAAAAGTGAGAGTGTGTTATTATGTTGAGGAGATTGCAACCAATATCACAGAATGAAATGTGTATGAGTCCCTAAATAGAAAACAGTGTTCTTCTATAAGCTTTCACATTTTGAAAGATTGTGCTTGGCTCTACAATCAACACTCTTAGCCCTAGCAGTAAGGAAATAAAAAGACAGATTGGAATGGAAAAATCTGCTGTCAGGGGCCTCTCCAGAGTGCTGAAAAGCAATTATGTCAGTATAGAGACTAAGGTGTGCCTAATCCAGGCCATGGTCTTCACAGTTACTTGCTGTGCATCAGAAAGATGGAAAATAAGGATGACAAAGAATCAGTGCCTTTGAGTTGTGATACGGGAGAGGAGTCTTGCACATACCATGGGCTGCCAAGAAAGCAAATAGGTCTGTCTTGAAGAGGGAGAAACCATTTATTTATTTTCTCCTTGTAGCCTAGGATTTTGAAGCTCTGTCTTACATACATGCCCTGGAAGGACTGGTCCTTGGGGAAGGACATCATGCTTGGAAGGATGGAGGGACAGCACAGAAGAGGAAGACTTCGGATGAGATGGATTGACTAAGTGACTGGGGCAATGGGGGTAGGTGTGTCAGAGTCAGTGAGACTGGCTCAGGACAGGGCAGAGTTCAGAGCTGCTGTATATAGGGTCACTGAGTCTCAGGTGACTCAGCAGCACATAACAACAATAGCAAACAAGCTTTCATATAAATTGAAACAAAGAAAACATTGTCATTTTTATGTAGGCTTCATTCTCATGAAGTGATGTGAGACCTGAAGCCTGGATCCCATATACATGCCAGCTCCCTTCTTGTTTCTTTTCCTCCAGAGCTCCCAAGGGCAGCTAGCTCATAGCATCTGAAAATCAGAATCCCCTGTATTGGTAGTCTGTTCATTACTGCTCTTGGGTCGTAATTGTAGCCAACGATGTTGTCTCTTTGGAGTGTAGTGTAATGCGTAACAAAACCTTGGGTGTTTTCCAGTGATAGAGATCAATAAAAGAGCCACCTTAAGGCTAGCTGTGAGGCATCTGTGACTCAGTGGTAGAATTGTAGCTTTTCATGTGGGACCAGTGGAAGCTTGAGCAATGATCCTGACAAACATAGGGTCTGGTGATTTGCTTCTTAAAAATCAGCCGTGCAAACACCCTGCATATCTCAGTGGTCTCGTGTACTGCTGATGTGATCCTGTGGATGATCCCATTATGCTTGGGGTCAGCCATGGACCCAGCGACAACTTGAGGGTGGATGACAAGAATTCTAAGTTGCCTATGTCTGTCTACATTTCTGTTGAAATAAAATTCCCAAGGTAAGGTCTAGTTCAAATCATAGTAACAATGTCACAGTAAAAATATACCGGGGTGTATACTCTAAACACCAATCATATCATGTGAAAATATGCACTGTGGTTAAAAAGGGAGCAGGTGAATTGACACTGACTACTGCTATGGACTCTAGTGTGGCAGGAAGTGGGAGGATGGCACAGGACAGGCCTGGGTACAGATCTGTTGTTCATAGGGTGGCTATGGGTTGTACTCAACTTGATGACACCTAACAACAGTAATAAAAATAAAAAAGAGAGCCTCAATGCAGTTGGAGGAGTGTTTGTTTAATAGTTTCACTCTGTCCCTTGAAGATAATGATCCACTTAAGGGACAGTCCCGAGGCCTGTCTACTTGGCTGGGAGAATGCCTGAGAATATGGGATCCTCAAGTAAAGGGCAGATGTGTGAGAAATTCTTGCCAACATTCAAACAAGCCACTTCCTAACTTTTAAGCAGCCCTAACAGCACAGTAGCATCACTTGCTATGCATCAGAAAGCTGGCCAATGACTAGGGAGGATAGAAGGAGAATTGATGCCTTTGAGCTGTAGTGTTGGAGAAGATTATTGAATATACCATGAACTGCTAAGAATATGAACAGGTTTGTTCTAGAGAGGGTTAAACCAGGCTGCTCCTTGGAGGCAAGGATTCTGAGGCCTTGTCTGACATACTTTGGACATGTTGCAAGGAGGGACCAGTCCTTGGAGAAAGACGTCACGCTTGGGAGGGTGGAGGGACAGTGCAGGAGAGGAAGACCCTCGATGAGATGGATTGACTCAGTGACTGGAGTAATGGGGGAAGGAGTGTCAGAGACAGTGTGATTGGCACAGGATAGAGCAGAGTTTAGAGCTGTTGTACATAGGGTCACAATGAGTCACAGGTGACTTAATGGCACCTAACAACAGCACTGTAGCACTGCTAAGTGAGAGGCTGGGGATTACTACCTACCAGCCAATCCCTGGCAGAGACACAAGGCAGTCCCCTCCCATAAAGATTTACAGCTTCAGAAACCTGATGGGGCAGTTCTCTCCCATCCTATGAGGTTCCTGTTGGAACTGACTCAACAGTAGTGAAATTTTTGAATTTGAGTCTTAAGTCTTCCTTATACTGTTCATTCCATACTATTTCTTCCTTTCCTATTTGCAACTAGATTTCTGTCTCTGTCACTGTGTGTGTGTGTCATTCACTGCCCTCCTGTCTCCCCCTCAGTCTCTCATGTGTGTGTGCTTTATATTTATAGATATTTTCTATTTCTAAGTATACAAATTAGTCATTCATAAGGTGCTGACATATGTGTCTAATTTATATGCAAGATTCTATACTCTGTAGGCCATTAAGGTAAAACACTCTGGGAAGTGAGTCACAAATACAAAGATGCCAATGGAGCATTTCTTTTTTTCTTGTCTTGCGTATTCCATGGAGAAAAGTCAGATGCATTTAGAATTGAAGTACCTTTGGACTTCTAGGTAAAACGGTGTATTGATATCCTAATCCACTAAGAGTCTCAGTTCAGTGTAATAAAATGCCACCAAAGCAGACTGAATTATTGACATAACACTCAGCAGTGCTTCTTGAAAAGGAGAAAATTTGTATTTTTATAGCTCTAAAGTCACATGGATTGCCTTGTCAAAGAGAGGCCTGAGAGGAAAGCTTTCCTGACTGTAGTGCAATTGACATCCCTGTGTATGCATCTGAGTTTGTGTTAAATTATTAACAATTTAGAGTAAACATGTCCCTAGTCACCCACTTAGGATCCATTAAGCGATAGGTAGACCATTTTATTCTCTTCCATAGTCCTTGAGCTATTCTAGGCTAAAATTCCCCATTATTAGAGGTTGAATGTAAGAGACTTTGACCAATTTACTCTTTCCACAAGCACTTATATCACACTTGTATCTTATTACCATTGGACCCTTGGCAACTTAAATTCATTGTAATTTGTAGTCACTGAGATTTATACTTCCATTTAATATCATTTAAGTGCCAACTAATGCTATTTTTATTTTACAAACCCACAAATACCTTAAAATTATTTTTTTTCTTTTATTAGGGCTACCAAGGTATGGTAGATGGAGGCTCTAATATTGTGGAAGCCTCATGGGAAAGTGTCTCAAGCATTCTACAAATGGTATGTACAGTGTTTTTATATTATTTATTTTGCTAAATAAACCAATAACTCTGTTCATTTGAAATGTTGAATACTCATGCTTTTAGTAATACAGCACATTATTGTGCTGACTGCCATTTTACTGAACTACTTGAACAGAAAGTAATTAAGTTTGCCATCTAATTAAAAAGACAAAGCTTTATATGACATCAACTTGAGAGTTATTCTTTCAGTAAAATGTTATATTTGCTGTTAATTGTGCTACTGGTTGTTCTCTTTCTTCTTTCTTTTTTTAAAGCACAGATTAGCATTGAGGCTACTTTTATTCTTGGTTGTCTGTGTTCAGTTAAGAATCTCTGTGCCCTTTGGGGCTTGGGTGTGTCCCTGAGCATTAAGTATAATAAAGCCTGGCAATGACTCACTCTGGCAGTTCCAAGGGCTTTGGATTTATTAGGAACACAGCAACCTTGTTCTGGTTCGAATCAGGCAAAGCTAATGTCTTCTATGGGAACAAATTGGGCTAATTAATCACTTTAGGCAAAATAGTTACTTGCTTTCAATTTAAAAGAGCCTGCCTAATAAATTCCCAGGATCCTTTAGATTACTGAGGGACCCAAATCAAGTGAGAAATAAAGCAATTATTTGGAAATAATCGATTTCATTTAAAAACTTATAGTTTACAATTTTCTCAAAGTATGTATTAATCTTTGGCTTATTTTGAGTACTTTTTTATAGAAAGGCATCAAATTGGTACATGCCGTCCAAAGATGCTAGTGGTTTATAGATTTTAATGTTGTACAGACTTTAAGTTGATAGAGACCTTTTTTAGATCTGTTATCCCTGTATTTCTCATTTTTCCTGTGTAGAGGTTGAATGGAATTTTGATAGCTAACAGTCATTAGGTAGAACAATATTTGGGGAGAAAAGTCAGGATACCTTAATGCTAGAGAGTAAACTGCATATGAAAAGAACATTTCTATTCTACTGCTACTGTGGCAAACATAGTTTTTTCTCACCAGCTAATGTAAAGGCTGGCAGTTCAAAATCACCCATTGGCACTATAGAAGAAAGGCCTGACAATCTTCATTCATGAAGACTACAGCCAAGAACACCTTATGGACCAGTTTTCCTTGGTAACAGATGCTGCTGCCATGAGTTGGACTCAAACTAAGAGCATCTGGCTTGGACACTGTAACTGTGAAAGGAAATAATACATCCATGACTGAAGTGCGAATGTGAAAGGTGCTACTTTGCATGTTAGTTATTCATTATTTCATTCTGGAGACTCTGTCCATGCTATCTGTTCAGTTGTGGTTTTTATGAGCTACTTAATTTCAGAGAGTGGTAAATCACATGGATCTTTAGTGACCATTTCTCACATCAGAGCTCCACGTGAAAGCTTATCTTTGCACTTTCTACCCTACATTCAGTCACCTTTGCCGGGCCAAGTCATAACCACACTACTGTGACTACCATCATAGTCAAACTTCCTGCTCTTATTATTAGTAAAAAGAGTACTGATTAAGTGTCTTTTTTTTTTTTTTTAATCTATAACCTCTCTCAGTGCTTTGACCAATTAAATAATGGTAGTTGTGTTTTTTCTTATTAATGAAAATATGAAAGGATTCTTTTTCTTGGGTGGAGATAATCAATATTTGTTATCTGTATGCACTATAATGAACATAAAGGCAGGCGTACTTTGGAGACATTGCAGTTCGGTTCCAGACCACCATCATGAAGTGAACTCAATACAGTGAGTCATAAGAATATCTTGCTTTCTCAGTACATTTCAGACTTCTGTTTGTAATATTGAGTGTGTCTATTGAGTGTGTAGCGTCGAGGACTCTCCTTCCTAGGGTCGCTATGAGTCACCTGCGACTCGATGGCACTTAACAACAACAACAATTGAGTGTGTAACAGCATTGTTGAAATATTGGGAGAATTACCAGAATGTGAGACATAGACACAAAGTAGGCATCTTATTGAGAACCAAAAATGACCCCAGTAGTCTTGCTTAAAAGATGGGTTGCTACAAACCTTCAATCTGTTAACAAATTCAGCTGCTAATTTGAACCCGTCCAGTGGTTTTAAGGAAGATTTTGCCAACATGGTTTTGTAAATATCACAACCAAGAAAACCCCAGTGGGGCTTTTCTACTCAATACAACTGAGGCCACTGTGAGTCAGAATGGACTCCAGGACAGAATGTTTCTCTCACTAGAGGTCTGCCCTCAACATAGAAACAGCTCACAAGGACCAAATACAAGTTGAAGATCTATGAATGTATTTATGACTTCAAGGAATCACTCATTTCCTTTCAGCAGGAAGTAGCTAAGAGAATACGCCATCCCCTTTTCCTTATGAATCAGGATGAAGTCTCTCTCAGGGAGGAGTGATAGGGAATGGCAAAGGACACACTGACAAAGAAGATTAATCAGAACTGGCTTTGACAAGCACTGTGGCATTTGGACAAGAACAAACTGGGAGGAGGGTAGAGAGAATAGTGCAACAATGAATGAATAAAAACCCAAAATTTAATAATTTAAAAAAACAAAACAAAACAAAACAACACACAAAGAATCCCTCATGTTTAAAAAACCAAGTGTGAGAAAGCATGACTGATCCCTCCTGGATGTTTGGTCACTCTGGTGGTGAAGTGGATAAAGAATCGTGCTGCTGATCCGAAGGCAGGTGGTTCAAATCTATCAACTGCGCTGAAGGAAAAAGATGGAAAATCTCCTCCTCTGTGATTTACAGCCTCTAAAAACCCACTGGAAGGCTGGCTATGAGTTGATACTGACTCAGTGGTGATGAGCTGTGAGGATGTTTGGACTGTTGAATTTAGGTCTTCCTAGAATTTCTCTTTTAAGAAGGTTGGAAGGGGAGGGTAGAGCAAAAATAAATTCCTTTGACTCACAGTTGCTATTCATTATACCTGAAAATGCAACCGCCTGTCAGAAAGGAGAAGGAGTCAGTGGTGCAGTGTTAAAGCAGTTGACTGGTGACTAAAAGACTGACAGTTCCAAACCCGGCCTGAGGCTGTATGGGAAATCAGACTTGCCAGTCTTCTTCTATAAGGGTTATAGGCAAGAAAACCCTATGAAGGAGTTTACTTGGGGTCATGATCAGTTGGAATAAGTATAAGACTCAGGGGACCCAGTGAGGCTTGCTGGACCAGTTGCGAAGGATCATGAGCCTTGATGGGACTAGCCTTTCACCTTCATGCTCAGGTGGCTGGGCTCACCCAGTATTGACACGGCCTCCCAAGGGCTCTGCGGATTACTCTTGTAGTTATGCAGACTCTGTAGCCTTCCTATTTTGCCAATGACCACCATTCGTTTGTGTTTCTGCACCTTCATTTTTACTATTACTGAACATAATGTGTCTCCATCTGTAGAATTCCAGTGTGGAACTGAAAATAGGAAAATCGCAAACTCTCGCAGTTGATTAATGTAAAGATTAAAAGGAGGAACCCCTAACTTTGGAACCTCTGTGTTTATAGGCCAGTGTTACTGTCCAGCTTTCTCTCTTAAGTTAGAGGGAGAGAAACATAATTTTGTTTCCTTTCTAGGGAGGGACAATCATCGGCAGTGCACGTTGCCAAGCATTTCGTACACGAGAAGGTCGCTTAAAAGCTGCTTATAACTTGGTTCAGCTGGGAATTACCAATCTGTGTGTGATTGGTGGTGATGGAAGTTTAACAGGGGCCAATATCTTCCGGAAAGAATGGAGTGAACTGCTGGAAGAGCTGGCCAAATCTGGTACGTTTCTGCTTTAGAGCTTGTGGTTTAATACAGTTTTCATTTTTGTTCGCCTTCCATTTCCTTCAGAGCACTCTTGAATGTTTGCGTTTTATTATTTTGTCCCTAGCAGAAGTGTCAGGGTAGTGATAATTATAACTGTGGATCTTATTAATATTTACAACTTTAAGACTTAACAATAGACTTCAAATAATAATAATAATGAATAATAATAATATAAAAATAACAAAACATTGTACTTCAAATAATAATACTAATCATGCAATAAGCTTGAGAAGAGTATGTGTTTCCCCTTACTGTATGCCATAAAAGGATCTCTGGTGGCGCAGTAGTTAAGCACTTGGCTCCTGACCAAAAGGTTGGTGATTTGAACTCACAAGCATCTCTGAGGAAGAAGATGTGGCAGTCTGTTTCTGCAGAGAGGTTCACAGCTCTGTCATGTAGGATTGTTGTGAATTAGAATCTGCTCAGTGGCAGTGGCTTATATGTCAAGACATTCTTCTAATCCTTTGTGTAGATGATTTTATGTAATCCTCACAGGTACGATCTGCCTTGGGTTTTTTACTTAATCTGTACTTTACAGATGAAGAATCAGAGTTCTTAGATGACATTATAGAGGCCTCTAGTAGCATCGTCTGTAGAGAGCTAGGCTGCTAACCCAAAGCCACATCTCTCTGAGTTCATATCCACCAGTGGCTCCTCAGGAGAAAGATGGATAACTTTTTTCCACTCAGTTTACAACCTTGGAAACCCATTGCAGGGGGCCAGTGGAGAGTTGGTTATGACCTGATGGCAGTGAGTTGATTTGAAGTCACACAGGTATAGGTCAGAATCTACAGAATCCCCATCAGACTCTGGAGTCTGTACCATTAGTCCTTATACTTTACACCTCCAGATGCACTTTTCATTTTGTTGTTGTGTGCTGTGAAGTTGGAATTGACTCAGAACTGTCCCTCCAGCAGATTTTCAGAGACAGTGAATTGCGCAGGGAGAGATTGCCTATCCTTCTGCAGAGCACCTGGTGGATTCCAGCTGTCTGCCTTTGGGTTGACAGCACAACTCTTTAACCTTAGGCCATCAGAGCTCACCCTAGATACACAAGTGTCTGAACTATAAATTGTTGCAAAATTTTAACTTAGATAGTAATTGTCTACTGTTGTAACATACTGTATCGCTTTTGAAACTGTTTAGAAAAGCTTGTCTGGGAATCCAGTCATTAGTATAGCTTGTGATCTTTTGTAGTTGTTATATAATTAAAACAATATAGAATATAATATAGCAATCTTTTGAACAGTTGAAACCTACTGTAAAACAATTTTGTTTCTCAACCTTTGTCCCCAAATTTTGCAAAATATATTTAAGAAATCAAGAATAGCTGTCAGATTATAACTAGTAAAATTGCTCAGAGATCTCAACAATAGAAAGTCCTTGATAGAATAGAAGAAAAATGTGGAACAAAAGTTAAAATCTGCAAAGAAACAGAAGAGACTTCATAGGGACAAGTGGGACTCCTGAGAATATGGTCCAGTTCACCCATCAGGCCTAGAATTGAAGTCACTGTTGCGACTCCACTTTTAGGCAAACAGTAGACAGACCGAGAATAAGGGCAGTCAACTGTACTGGACCAGAAGGGCAGCATTTGCCCGGGAATAAAGTTTTGAGGTCAAGTAGAGAGAGGTTAGAAGAATGGATAGAAACGAGAGCTCCAGGGAGGAAATGAGTAGAGTGCTATTACAGTATGAGGGGATTCCAGTCAGGCTAGAAAGCATAATTTGTGACATTACAACAACAAAATTGAAATGCCGGTTTGTTTTGTAAACTTTGACTTTAATCATAATGAATATTTTTTTATAAAAATTATTGTAACCAGCGAGGGCTTAGCAGTATTTTTAATTAATCTTGTTCATAGAGGCCCATTAGAACCATGGAAATGGAATAGTCATTAAGGTCCAAGGTTGTTTTATTTACCCATTTGTTTATTCTAATTTAATTTTTACAGACCTTCTCAATACAAATCTGTGTTTCATCTCAGATCTGAGTATATACCTACTTATTTTTCGTGGTTTCTATGAGAAATCAGATACTAAGATGATATTCTTTAGTGTTTAATTCTTCACTTATAATATGGAGCGCTCTGGTGGCCTAGTCTGTTTGGAGTTATGCCATTAACCTAAAAACTACACCTCTCTAGTGATTAGAATTCATCATTGGCTCTGTAGGACAAAGTTGGACCATCTCTTCCTCTCAGATGTACTGTCTTGGAAACCCAATGCAAGGTTGTTTCTAACTTGATGAGAATGAGAATTTTAATGTATCTCTGTCCAGAGACCTGGCATTCTCTGAAACCAATGCCAAATAAAAATCAAACTTAATGGATGGGATTACAACCTGTGGACCACTCTGTTTCTAAAATCAGGTGTTCTTGTCTAAGATTACAGCTTACATTTTGTATAGTTAGTTTCACCTTTGACTCTTATTTTCTTAAATGTCCAAGATTACACTGACTCTTA